GAAAAAAAAAAAAAAAAAAAAAAGTGGAACTGAAACAAAGTACTAGCTAGAAATGGTCATTTGCCCTCCTCCAGGACTGAGCACATGATGGAGAAATGTTGGTAGCCATGTTTTAAAATAGAAAAAAAGACATATATTAAACTACATTATTTTAAGCAAGCGTAGCCAAACCTTCATATTTTGCATACTGTACTGCTCTACTTGAACAAGTAATATATCCAGATTTAGGTAAATTAATGTTAGTGAGATTAAGCAGGGTTCAATTCAGGGAAGCATTAGACTTCTTAACTGATGAGAATAGAGAAATTTTTTTGCACATATTCCCTCCTCTGTCTTGTGAGGCCCAAGTCCATGCTGGTTGCACAAGCAGAATGAAAAAGAGGAAGTAAATTAGTCAATCAACTGTTTAAAATAAATGGAGCTCTAAAAATTCACTAGTGTAATTAGTTCATTAAAATGTTCRTTGATTATGGATAACACCATCACTGTGTTAAGAATCTTCCAGTATTAATAAGCTCAAATCTCAATAAAAATAATGATACAGTGATGAATAACACTGTAGTTTACTGTAGTGTTATTTCAGTACAAGAAAACAATAGCGGAATTTTACACGGAGGAGACRGTAGCTTTACTGGGAAGGTTGTTAAAGCCTGGTTTCCACTGGAAATAAGATCCCAGTGTTTGTCCCTCACTGAGCTCCTTGCCAACATCACCTACATCTTACAGTGGGTTATGGTTCTCAAACGTATCTCAAACGTATCTCAAACGTTGTAAGACGGGTGTCTTACAAACACTCCTGGCTGAAGAGAAAATAGACCCAAAAGTCTCCAGCTGACCACCCTGACAGACCTGGGGTCCACCGGACATCACCCTTCCCCAAACCATTCTTTTTCTTCAAAAACAAACCAAGAAAATCCTAGATCATGATCCCTTTTCATCTGCAGGTTAATATTCTCCAAATAGAAAACAATTTTCTTTGCTCATTATTTATGAATACTTCCTCTGCCTGGAAACAGGAACTAGGAGCACTTTGACACAGAGAGTTACAGGATGTTTCTGCCCAATATCAGACAGCTGCTTTCAATGAAGCAGTCGCCTCTTCCTTAGTGCAGGCACACTGCGAATTAAAACATGTACGGCCTTCAAAAGGAAAACAGCGAAGCTGGCACTGATACGGCTCTTGCCTCCTTGTGCCCGCAGCACTGTGAGCTGGTGCCCCCATCTCCCCTCTGCCCTGTGTGGCATGTGGGATTTGGGAGGGGAAAGGTTTGTGTAACAGAACAGCACTACTARGGTGCTGTTTTTCCTCCTGTGTCCCTATATAACTCATGCTGGTAAGATTCCTATATGCTTAGTGGCTGCTGCAATCTAAAGAAAATAAATGAATAATTTTAGCAGTTTTAATGGCACTGATATTTTTTGTGAGATGAAAGGAAAAGGAATGAATTAGGCTGAGAACTGGCCAAAGAGCAGGAGGCAGATGAACTGGAGGGGTGCAGAAAACTGAACATATTTTGCTCTTTGGAAGAAGTTACTAGCGAAGGAGAAATGAGGTGGGTAGTGAGAGTGATTTTGTGGTCAAGTTAATGAGGATAGATGTGACTTGGYACAAAGCCAAGCAAATGAAAGCAGATACTCCTCAGTATGGAGAATTTTTAGGCAAACTTTTGCTCTTGGCCCCCACTAGGGGCCATAATTTACCTCRTCTTTCATAGCAGTTGTTTTAGATGTAGCAGAGATGCACAGACACTTGGAAGTGGATCCTGAGATCCAAAGAGGATGAGGAAGCTCAGAGGGTGCTGCTATTCCAAGCTTCCAGTAAGGTCCAAAAGTTCCCCGGGATGCAATCAGTATTTGTATCATGGGGGCAGCAGGGATTTCACACCATCTGCTAGAGGCATCTGACTGGTTTCCTTCTGTTCCCTGTGTAATCAATAGAGAGAAACTAGCAGCTTTGGGAACGATTCGAACAGGCCTCTATTTTAGTGCACTTCTCTCCCTTAGTGAAATAGGGAACATTGGGAGATMAAGTATCTAAATTAGGAACATAACATTACATGCACACAGGGCAGGAATGAATACTCTTTTCTTCTCCAATTCTGTTATAGGGTCATATGTATATCATTGTTCTGATCATTGTCCACATCCTAAGACTCTTTAAATTGGAAAGTATATATAAAAAAAACTAACAGTGAAGCCAGGGAAATAATACTCCCTTTAAACGAACGTTCCTTAACAGGAAGTGGGGACAATGACAGATGAAAAACCCACGTTGGGAAAATAAGAGCAAAGCAGCAAATAAAGGATAGGGAGAGATTCTGGTGACAGAAGTGCCCTAGTCTCCACGCTGAAGGGAAGTAGCACCCATTACATGGAGAAGTGCTGCCACACAGCGACAGGGAAAAGGATTGGAGCGCCACAGCTGTAAGGACACTGGCAGCTTTGTCACAGCAATACAGGACACGGCTTGTCGGGGAGTCATAGCAATCCTGTAGCTAAAAATGTCTTTGAATTTCTTTGAATTGGAATAATCAATAAATAATATCACTTTCTCTTAGAGACTAAGCTTTTAGAACAATCTGATCATTGGTTATCCTATAGCACATTCCGAATGACTGTAAAGAAGCCCCTCTTTTCTAAAGTAGCACTATTATGTGACACGTCCTCCTGTGATTCACATAAACTGCTTCTTTTGCACGTGCAACATCAGGGCCCTGCACTCTCCATTTCTGTACAACTCYGGTGCACCGGGCCAGAGGTAATTCAGAGTAGTTCTGAAACAGGCGTGAGCGAAGTGTAGTTTCCTAACGGAGACGTCCCTATCACGTGTCTTTCTATTCTGTAAGAAAAAGCAATGAAACTAAAGGTTAGAAAAGCCCTGTTTGATGCCTGCAATGCTGCTTCTGGTTGTTTCCAGCTCACAGAAATGTCAGCTCAGCCTAAGCATAAGGCTGATAGCAAATGCTATAAAAAGGAAAGTCTGCCTGAAATTGGAAAGCTCTTTTCAACACTTGTCTCGGAGAAGGCAGCAGCAGGTCTGCTTAATGCAAAGGGGAAACTGCAGCCAAAAGGARGTCTGTAATGAGGGTGGGTGTGAAAGGAAACATGAGGCTGTCAATCAAAGTGGAAAAGAACAGAATTTCCAGGCAGCGGGAAACACTTTATATCAAAAACAAGCTATTTGGATTGGGGGGAATGGGGGGAAATGGGGGGAAAAAAATCTTTGGAGATGGTGAAAGGGTTGCAGATCCAGGGCTGGGACATGCCTTGTGCTCTTGGGTGTTTGTGTAGGGGCCTTTGCCATGCCAAGAAATGACTTTAAAAATCAGAGAATGGTTGGAGTTGGAAGGGACCTCTAGAGATCATCTAGTTCAGCCTCCTGCTCCAGCAGGGACACCTAGAGCACAGGATACAGGTTTTGTGAACACCACTTGTGATGAGTTTATAAGGATCTATTTTTCTCCTAAATGGCCATTTTTTTGCTATCACATATTAAAAATGGCATTTGAAAGAACTTTTCAGTGTATGACCATGAAGCACAAAGAATCCTTAGAAAATGAAAATAGGAAAGTGGGAAAAGCCAAGACCAAGATCTCAGTGGCCCTCAACACTTACCGAATGCACATAAAACATTATTTTTATTACAGTAGAGCCACAAAACAGTGAGCAGGCAGATCGTTATCGCTTTAGACAATATACAGTAAGCAAAAAGTGCATCACCACACAAAGCTTGTTACTATTTTATAAATAAATATATTAATAAGCACAAAATTGCAGTATTTTTATGAGGCTGATGCTGAGAACTGAAAAGCTGCAATTACTGTGAATTACTACTACAGGCAGAAGAAACTGTGGGGGTTCRATGGTGAAAATCAGATCTACGTTTGGACCTAGAAATACCTTGCAAGGCTACTGCCACACACACAATATCAGGGAGAGAAGAAAGCAGTAACACAGATTCGTATTTACAGGGAATTTGGCTGTAAATCCAGCTATCGATTTAGAGTTTGGGGGATTTTGTAGAAACACTGACAAGGAAAGGGGGCTACCTCCCCAGGTTCAGCCCTCAGGTATCTTAGCCTGGACATCGTATAATCCCTTCAAGAAGCTTCTTGAGCTCCAGCTTAAAATAGCCAGGTTTTATCCATGTGACTTTGGTCACAAGGAAGGCTTTTCCAATCTCACGGCTCTGATGGCTGCAATTCCACCCCTTAATTTCTGCTCAAATAGGTTAATAGTCACTTTATACCCATTTGCTCTAGTGCCAGCATAGTTCTCCATCTTATACCTCATAAAACACGTTTCTTCTAGAGAGATCCAAACCCACCAGCACAACCAGACACTGTACCTGGTGGGCTGTTCTGAGGAAAGAAATGGATTTTACTCCTGATTTTGTCTGTAACGTCCAGGACGAGATGGCCACTTCTTCCTGCACTTTCAAAGCGGGAGCGATTAACACACGTGGGGAGGCAGCAACAGCAGCGCCTTCAACCCCCTGAAGCACAAGATTCAGTGGTAAACACTGGAATGAACCTGTGTGTTGTAAAGCACAGGAAAACTACTCCTCAAAAGGCGCGCAAAATCTATCGAGCTCTGTTTCCCCTGGATTTCCCGCAGGGAAACTCCCGCAGTCAGAACGCGGTGGAAACGCGGGGCTTCGGCGGGTGCTGCCTCCATCTCCTGGGGGCTTCCCTCTGAGATGTGYGTGGGAGTAACGGCTGCTAACGACCGTTAACGGCCGCCGCGGGAGACGCTAACGGCCGTAGAGGGTGGAGCTAACGGCCGGGGAAGGGGGGTAATGGCTGCTAACGGTCGCCTTGGGGGAGAGCTAACGGACCCCAGGGGTGGGTGGTAAAGGCAACTAATGGCTGATAACGGCCGGGGGAGGCGCCAAAGGTCCCAAAGGAGGAGTAACGGCCGCTAACGGCTGATAAACGGCCCATAACAGCCGCACGGAGGCACTAACGGTCCCCAGGGGGAGTAACGGCCGCTAAGGTCCCTGGAGGGCGCAGTAACGGTCGATAACGGCCGTACGGAGGCGCCAGGGACAGCAGCGGAGGGGTAAGSGCCGCTAAGCGTCCCGGGGGTAGGGAGACGCGGTGACGGCCGCTGATGGCTCAAAACGGCTGATAACGGCCGCAGGGAGGCGCTAACGACTGTTGGGGGGGGGGGGTGATGATAACGGCCGCCGCGGGGGGCGCCAGCGGGCGCAGAGCGGCAGGCGCCGCCTCCCCAAGCCATGGCCGCCACCGCCCGCCTGTGGCGGCTGCGGGGCGCCCTGGGCGGCAGCGGCGCCGGGCTCTGCAGCAGCAGCGCGGCGGGAGGCGGGCGGCCGCCGGCGGAGAAGCTCACCGCCACGCGGCAGGCGGGCGGCGTGCGGTGAGCGGGCACCGCGGCCAGGGCTCCGCGGGGCCGGCGGGGACCCTGCGGGGCGGCGGAGGGGGAATGGCTCCCGGGCTCTCCCGCCGCTGCCGCCGCCCCGAGGCCTCTCGGGGGCCTTCTGCGCGGCCGCCGTGGCAGTAGAGCCACCACCGCGCTTTGGGGACAAAATGCCCGCAAATGGTGCCTGAGTGGACCAAAAGGGAGCATAGCATAGCACGGAGAATAAAAGGAATTTGAGCGATTGTTGGAATCACGCGTGAAAAGGCCCCTAGTCCCGTCTAGAACTTATGGGATTACAAAATACAAATACAGTTTGCCAGTGTCAGGACTTCATCCCTGTTTTCACYAGGGCTGTGCAGTTTTTATAGTAACCCTGTCATTATTTTTACAGAAACATTATCTTGAACAATCCAAAGAAAAGAAATGCGCTGTCGCTGTCCATGCTGCAGTCGCTTCGGGAGGACCTGCTACRTGACGTTAAAAGCAAAGATCTCAGAGTTATCATCATTTCAGGTATTTCCTTGAGCTGAGGGAGGAGGGAGAGAACAAGGGGGAAGAGGACACTAGAAGAAACAGGATGATGTGATGCTTACCACTAACTGTATCACAATAATAGAAAATAGAGCAGAAGGGACATGCATTTTATTGTTAAATTACAGAAGAATTTTTTTTTGTGCGTGTGTGTATAAGAAAAAAAAAAAAAAGAGCTTCCGTTACCATTGTTGCCTTTAGTAGTAGGTTTGTGAGATCAAAATAAAGAAGCATAAAGGTTTCTTCAAGTCATGTGGTCTGATGCCCTGGTCTAAGTCTGCTTAAATCATRGGATGATCTATGTTATCCTTGCCAGCAGTTTGTCAAAACTTTTTWAAAGTTTTGGTCACTTTTTAAAAGTTTTTGGTCCACTTTTTAAAAAAACTCTGGTAAAGGAGAGACCATAACACTGATACTACAGTCACCGATGACCTCCAGATCTAGCACATTATCTCTCAGAGCCTATTATACATTTCCTCTATAGAAATACAGATAAATACCTAATTTCTAATCTACAATCCTAATCTATAGCCAGGTATTTATCTATAGAAATTTTAAATATAATAACTATTGAACTGTCCTTAAGATATCTCTTTCACCATGATATTTTATGATTTTTTGGCCGCCTCTTGAATATCCAACAGCTCAATTTAGTTTCCTGTACTAAGAAGGAAACACTGTGCACAAGTGGCTAAGTACATGCATGTGACAATAGAAGGTCTAACTTGACTAACTTCAGAGATGCGTTTTTCCCTGAGTCTGAATATCTACTGCCCACTTCTAGCTTTTGGAAGAATAAGATCCACTGGTTAGACCCAGTATTATGAGGAACCTTTTTTTTTTTTTTGGGGGGGGGGGGGTGTTCCTCCTTGAGAATAGATAGTTAAGTGTACAGAAGAAATAAATATGCATTCAGAATTTTAAGAACATTTCATATTCTTATTTGGGAGTACAGTGCTTTGGAAGTTCAGTTTGATTTGTTTGTTTGTTTGTTTGTTTAATTAAAAATAAGTTGCATAATCCTATTGATTTGTCATTTCAATGCTGAATGCCCAAGAACTCCAAAGAAAATTAWAGACTTGTCAGGGGATGTCTTAAATCTTTGACACGTACCTTGCAGTGGGTTCTTCTTTAATGAGGCAGAAACAGATGTGATTAGTTTCCAGACAAGGTGTTAACTCATCCAACAAGTTGATGTTAGGTGTGTTRGGGTTGGACTAGATGACCTCTAGAGGTCCCTTCCAACCTTAATGATTCTGTGGTTCTGTGTGATTCTTTATAGATGTTATTAGTGTTAATATATAGGGAAGAAATGTGTAAGGTTATGACTGCACAGCTGTAGTTGCCACCTTTATATAGTTATCTTAAAAGCTCTGAAATCTTCAGAAGCTTCAGATCGGTTTATTCTTACAGCAAATATCCTTATGAGTGAGGAGCACTGTTGTGAAGATGTTATATCTAGACACAGAAGTTTGATCACTTCAAGCAAATCTAAAACTTAGATCCATAGGCTCGTACTCTGTTCCTGCCCAAATCTTGGAGAAACCCAAATTTCCAGCACTTAAGTCCAAGAAAGATCTGTGCAGTAAAAGCACCTTAATTGGCAAAGTCACAAAAGCCAGAATCACATGATAGTTTGAGCAGTGGAAAAACAGAGGCCCCCAACAACATTTCTGGCCCTCCTTTAGCCAAAAGACCTTCTTGTCCCWTGTTGCCTTGAATGTCACAGCAAGGAAATCTCCATATTTATTTAGAAGTTAATGATTTAACTTCTGATTTGCTGCAGCTGAGTATTTACATTTTGCCAAGAGGCAGCTTGGCGCAATATGTTAGGAAAACCTGGGCTCAATGGTGTAAAGTGACGTATTTTTAAACGAGTTAACTTGGAGTGAAAGACAAACTAGGCTYCTAAAAATAATAGGTTTGGGTGTTAGTGTGGTTAAATGGTGGTAATTAAAAATCATCATAAAACTCAAGAGTGCAATATTTAGGAGTTATATATCTATAGATTTACAATTAAAATGTGTAAAATGTTGCCAGCCTTCCCCAGATTCCTTCTTTTTACCATTGACAACTCCATACCTTTGGAAGTAGGGTATTGATATTACCCCTGCTGTTGCCTTTCAAAGTAATTCAGATTGAAAGCTTTTTTTTTTTTTTTTTCCCCTTCTCTCCTTCCATTTCATTAAATTCTTTGCAGCTGAAGGACCCATATTTTGTTCTGGTCATGACCTGAAGGAACTGTCAAGTGAAGAGGATGTGAAGCATCATTCCAAAGTGTTTGAACTTTGTGCAGAGGTAAGTGAGTTTTCAGAAATGCCAGACACTTTTGCTTGGTACTGTAAGCAAGCACTGAAATTGGTTGTCTCCTGGCAGGCGCACAGGTATTTGCTCTGGATTTCCTGTTCTTTTCCAATCTGCTCTTTTAATACCTAAGCCTGGTGAAATTATGTTTTCCCTGGTTTCCGTTCTCTATTTGCAAATAAAATGCTGAATGCTGATGTATAGGTGCCATAAACGGATATAATTGTTGCATATTTCTTACTTTGGCCAAGTTTCCTTGCAGCTGAGTATTTGTGTAGCGTCTTTCCTAAAATATAGGATTATCCGATTTCATTCCCCTTGGGATCTAATAGTCCTTCCCAGCACCTAGCTGATAAGAACAGCTGAAATATTGACTGTATGGCTGGCTTGGAACACAAGTACTTGTTGCAGAAGAAAGGCCCTGTAAGTCAGGAAGTTAAAGTGCTTCTTTGGAGAGAATGGCAAAAAGCCAACTAGAATTTTACCTCTAGTCGTGCTCAGTATGACTACAAAAAATAATTTAGACTTTTCTTTTCCTAGTTCCTTCAGTAGAAATTAAGACCTCCATACACAATATCAAGCCCCTTCCATTAATATTTAACAAACTCATAAATAGCTTTTAGAGCAGCTTACCACTGAAGGCCCTTTAGTGTAATATGTGGCAATAATCCTTGCAGCTTTGCCTCTGTTCCTTAYTTAAAATCCCCTGTAACTGGAAAATTAATTTTAAATTGGGACCTTTGTGCCCTTCTGATGATGGGACTAACTTGTCATTCAGCCACACTTTTGCTCTGTATGGAAAGCATACTACAGTACTGTCAGTGGAAAGGTGAACCGTATAGTTTCTGGGTCAGAGAATAGGAAGGATCAGACAGAAGAAATGTAGAATTTATTATATGTAGCATAAAATGAGGAKTTTGTAAATTTCTCCCTTTAAGAACCAAAGGAATTTAAATTGTCCCTGATATATTTCTAGCATCAGGGCTATATGCATGAGGAATAATGGCTAGTATAGAAAGCTAGGTTTAGATTTAATAAAGGAAATACATGTGTGTGCGCGCGTGCGCACAGGGTTAAATGTTTCTTTGTAAGAATCGTGCCCTACTGTAAAGTGAATTTAGCAAAGAAGCCATCATTCTAACTACAAAATGAGGTACTGCATTTCAGATAAATATTTCTGAGACAATGAAAATTGCAAAGAAGTGAAATGGTAGTGACAAAATGATATTTGATGTAATCCCTTTTCTGATGATGATGCTGACAATAATAGTATCTTACATTTCCTACGTGAGAATCCTAAAGGGATTTAAGTTTCTCTCATAAACCACAACTYAGTGTTATTCCTCTGTAGGAAGAAGGTCTTATGATAAATTTTAATGGCAATTTACAGATGAACTGAGAAATATAGAAGCTGAGAAATATAGAAATTAATTTAGACTTTATGAAGCTTCCTAACATATCTACATTTTAGTGGTCTGATAAAGTAATTTACTTGTCTTTTTCTTCCCTAGAGAAAAACAAGTACTTTTGAAAACCTTCGGAAAGCCTAAGMATGTCTTTATAAATGTAGGTACCCAAGTTAAGTGGAATGGATCTGTCCTAAATGTCATGTCCACCATATTGTGGACTGATGAGTCAGAGCACTGGTCTGAAATTCAGGAATTTTGGCTTCCAGGTCTGTCTGTGACCAGTAAACTTGGGCAGGCCATGTCACCTGCCTGTGCCTCGTTGGAGCACTCTCCACGCTCAAGTCCAAGGCAGATGTGAATATTGTTTCTCCAGAGGCTTCTCAAAAACCCAGAAATAGCAGGGATTTTTTTAAAGAAGCATTTGACATAGATTTTTTTAAACCATAAAAAGTGTTCGCTGTGTTCCTCTGCACACATGCACGTGCTCTTACTCGTTTGTTGTTTACTTTTTGAGACTAACTGAACACCGTTCTTAAAGGTAGAAAATCTGAGACAAAAGGTGGCCAAATTCAGAAGAATTTAGGTCATTTTACCTAAGGGACATTAAACCTATTAGGCTTTATCCATTGGAGAAAATGAGTTAACAAATGAAAACTTTATCTTGCCTGCATAGTGCTAATATGAGAATTCTTCCATCCTCATAATGACAGTAGTCAGTTAAATAGCATTTTGTACCTGCAAGCATTAAATTAGGTGAGTTTGATCCCTCATTTATGGAAGAAGAAAGTGAGCTAGAAAAAAAATAAGAGAAATTCATCTCGGCTTCAGCTATCTAAAAGCGGGCTATCCAGCCTCGGAAAATATCACCTGCTGTACACAATTCCTCACCACAGAGCGTTTTATTACACAGTCACTTTTCCACTGCAGGCAGTAATGAAGGTGAGGATGGTTTGTCTTGGACACACAGTAGCTCTGACAGCAACTCACACCCTTCAGTGCAGACAGCTGAGCTCCTTGACGAGCCAGTGCTAGTGTCCCTGCTGTTCAGTGTTCTGCTTTCCATCGGAGCTAGCAGGACTAACCAAGGCAGGTTTTGCTGGGAGAGGTTGTATCATTCATGGAACTGCAATTGACAAAGCTGGGAAACGACATGATGTCACGTGTGTGGAGCTACTGCAAATTTTGGAACACGCCATGTTTAAATTCAGTGCTAACTGAATGTTTTGTTTCCTGCATGCAGGTTATGACCTTAATCCAGAAACTTCCAGTACCTGTGATTGCCAAAGTCAATGGCTTGGCTACAGCAGCAGGTTGTCAGCTCGTGGCCAGCTGTGACATTGCAGTGGCAAGTGAGAAATCTCAGTTTGCTACTCCTGGAGTGAACATCGGGCTGTTTTGCTCCACCCCAGCTGTGGCCTTGGGCAGGTCTCTTCCAAGAAAGGTAGGTTTCCTTCCCACCTTTTCCTTTTTTTTTTTTTTTTTTTTTCCCTCTAGTTTTGTGTAGTTTTGCAAGGAGTAGGAGCATGTTAGGCTTTTTAGTTGCATTACCTAAACTTCATTTTTAACTGTAGAACATGCAAAATACTTTATTGCCAAAGACATACTCAGAAGAAATTATGCGAACTGGTGAACTGGGACAAAGAAAGGAAAGGATGACCTCTGTTCAGGGAAAGCAGTTTCCTACTGTTCTGATTTCAGTCAGCAGGGACTCCCACCAGCACAGCAGCCCCTTCCCTTTCCAGCAGACAACTCTGTGCTTTACACAGAGATGTTCTCCCCTGATGAGAAACCCCTGCAAACTCAGGATATTGGTCCCACAGAAGTATCAGTCCCTGCCAGGCAGTGACATTTCAATGTCAGCGTGCTCTGCCAGGGTTTAGATCAAGGTGCTTTAAATAGTACATAAAACCGTCATATACCTCCCTCCTACTTTATTTCCTACTGATTGTGACGGCACATCTCTTGCTGCATAAACAATAGTGTAATCTGTAGAGCCTTGACAGAGAAATAAAACTTCAGGTTCTGATTCTGTTGGATTCATGTGGCAGACTCGTTCTTCAAGGCCGCAGGGTGCTGCTGAGATGCAAGGAGTTATCTGCACAGATCCAATTGCTGGATAAAAACTTTATTTTCTTACTTGTAGTGCTATCATGTTCAAATGCAGAATATGGGTTTTGAGAAAATGTGCTAGACTGTASTTTTATAGCCCTTTCTGAATTAGTATTTCTAATTTTCAGTTACTTTTTTAAAATGTGTATTTTTGTGCTCTTTTTCAGTGTAGCAAGTTTTTTTCTTTATTTTTTTTCCTGCAATTCTCAGGATCACTGATTTTGACCTCTTATCAAATGAAATATTGCCAAGATGATTGTCTGTAGCTAACACTGCAAAGGTGTTAATGAGGATAATGGAGCCTAACAGTATCAGCCAATTGCATCTGGAGTCAGAGAGAAAAAGAAAAAACCTTCTCAGTGTTTATGTATAGCATCAAACAATGAGCTAAATGTTTGGATATTTTAATTCAAAACCTTAGGTATAGGGTGCTGAAAGCAACAGATGCCTGGGATAGGTACAATTATGAGAGGGATGTTTTTAAAAATGGACAGACCAAACTTGAACTACTTGAATATGAAAGACATATTTTCAAATCTATGCACTTAGAAAATCTCTTTTTATTTACTGTTGTACTCTCACTTTAAATACTGAAATCAGACTTTTGACTTAATGATACTAAGTCATGAAGTTATTTGATGTGGTATCTACATCTCTCCTGATACCTGCTGCAATCACTAGAGGTTCTAAGCTTTTGAAAAGAAACGCAGATGCATCAGCCTAGGAGAGCAGTTCTGAAAAGTGGGCAGTTCTGGGGAAAGAAGAGCCTGCTCCAGATCAGTCCTCTCGTAGAAACCTTTTCTTGTTTCCTTGGCAGTTTCAAAGGCTAGAAAATGTGCAACTTGCATTTGAAGGAAGAAGCTGACATTTCTCAAGRCATCCAAAGCAACAAGGAAGCTGAATATACTTAATGTGATTTGTTTGTTTGTTTGCTTAGGTGGCATTAGAGATGCTTTTCACGGGTGAACCTATTTCTGCCCAAGAAGCATTAATGCACGGGCTTGTCAGCAAGGTGGTGCCAGAAGACAAGCTAGAAGAAGAGACCATGAAAATCTCTCACAAGATATGCAAAAGCAGCAAGTCTGTCCTGGCACTGGGGAAAGCCACCTTTTACAGACAGATGACACAGGACCTTGACACTGCTTACAGAATGACTGCCCAGGTCATGGTAGACAATTTGACTTTGAGAGATGGGCAGGAAGGCATCAAAGCCTTTATTCAGAAACGGAAGCCCGTCTGGTCACATTCTCTGGACCAGAAGAAATGAATCCTGTTTCTRAGCTCGGCTTAGCTGCACTTCATGATTCTCCACACAGTTGCCTTTGAGAACTATAATTTTGCTGTTACTGAAAGTAAAACTTCTGATATACGCCAAAGCTACAAAAAATCATTTAAATATGTAATAAATTTTTTAAAATATCGAGCCCAATGAGCCTTTTTAACCTTAAAACTTATCAAATAATGTTTGGTGTGTTTCAGCCTTCTTGTGGCATCACAGGGTTTGGAAGAATGCTCAGGATTCACTTTATATYTCTGTTAATAACAACAAATGGAAATTCTCAGCAAGAACCAGGAGGACAGGTACTAAACAGGTCTGAAGTTGTGACAACCTCCAAGGAAGGGATTCCACTGACCTTCCAGTGATGTTCAACACTCCTCATGGAAAAGTTTTGTTTCCTAATGGCCATTCTGAGCCTTTGAAGCATCAGAGTTTGGCCAGTCACCTTTGCTCCACTATATGCCATTATTAATAAAATTTAAACTCTGTCTTCATAGAATCATAGAMTGCCAAAGGTTGGAAGGGACTTCAGAGGTCACTGAGTCCAAGCCTCCTGCACACGCAGGGTCACCCAGAGCACGTGGCACAGGGCTGCATCCAAGCGAGTTTTAAAGATATCCAAAGAAGGAGACTCCACAACCTCTCTGGGCAGCCTGTTCCAGTGCTTTGTCACCCTCACAATGAAGAAATGCTTCCTTGAGTTCCTGTGGAACTTCCGATGCTTCAGTTTGAAGCCATTCCCTCTAGTCCTATCACTGTCCACCACTGAAAAGAGGCCCCCCCCCTCCTCCTCACTGCCTCCCTTGAGGTATTTATACATGCTGATCAGGTCCCCCCTCAGCCTCCTCTTCTCCAGGCTGAACAGGCCCAGCTCTCTCAGCCTTTGCTCATAGGGCAGATGTTCCAGGMCCCCGATCATCCTGGTAGCCCTGCGCTGGACTCTCTCCAGCAGCTCTACATCCCTCTTGTMCTGGGGAGCCCAGAACTGGACGCAGTACTCCAGATGTGGCCTCACCAGGGCTGAGKAGAGGGGGATGATCACTTCCCTCGACCTGCTGGAGACGCTYTTCTTAATGCACCCCAGGATCCCGTTGGCCTTCTTGGCCACCAGGGCACACTGCTGCCTCATGGTCAACTTGTCGTCCACCATGATGCCCAGGTCCCTCTCTGYGGGGCTGCTCTCCAGCAGGTCCACGCCTAATCTGTACTGGTGTCCAGGGTTATTCCTCCCCAAGTGCAGGACTTCTTTGTGACTGTTCTTCAGGTAGTCACAGGCTGGTATTAGACCAGCCTTAGGCTTCTCTGTTCTGGACTAAAGAATTCCCTCAGCTCTCCTTGGTTATCACACTCTGCATTCCCACCTACGTAGTTCTCTACCAAACCCTTTCCAGCTTCTCAACAACCAGAACTAGCAGTATTCCAGAGATGGCCTCACCAGTGCTGCGCTGGGGAGAATTCAAAAATTCCTGCAAATCTGATGGGTGATTTTGGCCAGTCAGTTTTGCTCCGGGTGCGTTTTGCTGTGTTTGTGATGAGAGTGCCTTGCTGGCTCGTGCTCAGTTTGGCATCTGCTGTAACCCCAGCTCGCTTTTCAGCAGAGCTGCTGCTCAGCCAGGCAGTTCCCAGCCTGGTGCATGGGGCTGTTCTGCCCCAGCTGCAGAACTTGCATTTCTACTTAGTCCATGAAGGTCTTGACTGAAGCTGGGYTATTCAATCTCAGCCATCCCCTCAGTTTAGTATCATTTGCAAATTTGCTGCAGGTGTTATCCATGCAAATATAGAATTATATGGGCCTCTGTATTAGTTTGTGGGAATCACCATGGGAAGACATTTCAGCAAGGGCCCTTTTTTTCCTGCGTAGTCAGATCACAAAGGCTGATCCATTTCATCTTTAAATAGGCATCTAGGAAAGATCAGATGAGTTGCTGGTGGGATTTCCATTTTTCTATTCCTTGACAGTAAAAGTAGACTAAAGTGCTTAGCTCGGACTTAGATGTCCTAGGTCAGATGAATCCTACTCAGAGCTATTAAACCTCACAGTGTGAAGGTATCGTGCATCAGAAGAGATTTCATTAAGGTGTATTTGCTCATGTGTCTTGGTTCTCAGTTGGTGTGTGKGTCAGCTTGTTCTTCAGTTCTCTGGAGTCAACTAAGGACCTAGGAAAGATTTGGGATAGTTGTCTCCAGGGCTAGGACACTCAGGCCAAACACAATACAGTCAAATTCTGTTCCCACTTATCCTGGGACAAGGCAGGCCAAGTTGGAGCAGAAGTTAATCTCTTGCCTAACTGCTCTGTATATTTTAATTGAAACATTATCAGTATTATATATATATTCATTTGGTATCAATATTCATTTATATGTGCATGGCCCCAGAAAACTTTTTTTTTGTCTGCTGTGTATACTCAGCATGAAAAGTAAGTAATTTTCAATTTTCCTGCTATTTTTAATTTAAAAAGGTGAAGTTAAATGTAATTTGCCGTTGAAAATTGTTTCTATCCAGATGCGAAAAAATGTGAATCAATAGCTGTTATAAAAAATATAAGCTTCTATTCTAATCACTATTTTGTATAAACTTATATGATTTGTATGCATCATGAACTGTTTAGGAGCAAGAGAGAGAAGGGTTAAATCTGGRGCCATCTGCCCTTCGTGATGTCCTTTTTAATAGTGTAAGATGTTGTACTTAGACCATGTTCCCACATGCTGCTCTAAAAGCATTAGGAAAGAGGAAATCGTTTTTAAAAATATTTATATTTAATGGATATCTTGCAACTACTCAGCAAATTTCTACGGCCTCTTTTGTTCCAGGCTTTTAGAAATAAGTACATTATCTGATTTTTGCAGAATAGAGCCTCTTTGCAATAAACTGCAGCAATAAAATGGCTTCACTGGCTGCAGTTTAGATGAGCACATTTGCAGATGTTTAGAAATCCTGTTAGCACTGGCTGTTTGTGTAAAAGACCAAACCCCCGAYGCCTCAAACCCCTTCATGATTCAAATCTGTGGAGGCAGAGGAAAACAGTGCCGTGGAGCTCATATTCTTAAGAATGCAGCTTTCCCAGGTTGTGTGTTTTTCAGACTCATTCACAGGTGCACTGTGAGACATGACAAACTTTGGTGTTGTGCTCTGAGATCTTTGAAAGTACAATTTTCAAGTAAGTACACTTGAAAATGAGTGGTCACTGTATTTGTTTCTACCAATTCACACACCATCACTGCAAAAATCTCCTAGGAAAATCTCCCTGTTGTTTGAATTGCCGGATAGAGAAAAGTTTCAGAGGGCTTTAGAACACTCCTGTACTGGCCCCTGTAGACTGACCAAGCAGTATTTTTCATTTCTGATCTGTAAATTTTCATTTTTGTCCATGCCTGCCCTTATTATTTAATTTAATGGTTTTACAGGCTAGTCCTGGGAAACAGAGCGCTTCCAGAATTGCTAATTACATTCTACAGCCAAGAAACAGCAACCCAAATCGCAGATTGGGAGCCCTACCGCTGTGACTGTCTTCTGCCGGCGACAAGAGATTGTCCAAAAATAGCAGAAGTCTGTCCCTTGTCACGCCAGTCATTTTTATGAAGGAATCTGCTCTGCAGCAACGACTGCCAGGTAATTAGCCTAGTTTCAAGTGACCCTAATAGCATGTGGCACATGCTCAGCCAGCTCTGAAACCAAGTCCTGTCTCCCGTGCCCTGTGCCCCGTCTCCAGGATGCAGCTTTAAATGACACRAAGGGACAACCTTGCTACTAATATATCCAGGAAAAGCTGGAAGAATGGAACCTGGGTGCACGGAAAGTGGAATAATGTGGAGAAAATACAAGCAAGGAATTGCCACAAAGAATGTCACGAGCCATCTAGCCAAGTGGTGTAGCTCAGAGTGCCTCTGGAGTAGAGGTCTTGGGACAACTAGATGTTAGGCAAGCTGTACAGGCAAAATCCAGGGGATGTGATGGAGTCATCACCTATGATGTTACTACAGGCTCTGCTCAAGAATAGGGTAACAAACAAGCCAGGGTGCAGAGACCATTATGGTAATATTCAGCGTAAGGTTACCCAGTTCATGGATTCTGCCTCACCCCATTTGACCAGGGGCCTCAGGATGAGGTTCAAGATACGTTATCTTCCATGGTCCACATTGCTGGATGGCAGACTTAGTGTTCCCTGAGACTTCCTAGGAGTTTTCTGATCATCTCTATCTTCTTAAGGTCTCCAAAAGCCAGAACTCAGCTGAGCAGATAAGAATTCGTTTTCTTTTGAGGTAATTGCTTGTAGTTGTGGAGGGAAAACTTGAATATATGTACAACCAGGGCACAAAAAGTTTTAAAATCCACGATGAACTCACTGGCAAAAGTCAGCATTGTAGGTTTTACGATCCAGTTCCAGGATTTTGAACATTTGGATGACAACACTGTGTCCTTCACAGAATTGCCTTTGGGTAATTCCTGTCTTGTCATCCCTGTGTTACAGATGGGGAAATTGAGGCCAAACGTGTTCTGCTCAAGGTGTCCCAGGGAGCCAGTGGCACTGTAACGATGACATCCAGGACACGGACACCTGCTCCTTGCACTTCAGCAGCAAAGTTTTCAGTAAAAGCACCAGAAATGCAGGTGACTGCATGCTCTGAAAAGACTGCAGAAGCTTCTGAACAGAAATGATGAGCTACTGCATCAAAGGCCCCATGCTTGACATTTATTGGCTTTTTGATGAATGTTGGGGTAATTTTACTGTCAACAGTTTCTCATTAGGAGCCTGGCAATGTTCTTTCTGACCATTATCTTGCTCAATATCACATCAGGTTGCCACAAAGAGCAGGCATTTTATGTAAAACCCATCTATCTCTGTAGCTGCAAAATGCTCTAATAATTCTGCATTTAAATAATTTCATGGAAATGCCGGCTGCCTCCCCGAAGCCATAAGGAGTCAGGACAAATGGCTAAATTTCCACGAAGACCTAAAGCTATTGGACAAACCTCATATTGCAATGAGAGGGATTCATTTGTCTTGATTTCAGTGGCATTGCACCTAGATTTTACTAATCCTGAATTTATCTGCCGAGTGATGGGTTCCCATGATGGTTTACAC